TGTTATTATTAATAATGAAATGAAATGTTTTTTTTTATTTTTATTCTAGTTTGAGGCAATATTGTCCTCTTTATCTTTATCTTTTTTACTATTGTTATGGATGCTTTTTATTCTTTGTTTGATTCTTACAATATTAGAATGAATGCTTTTCTTCCTAAAAATAATGGGATTATATCTCATTTAATTTACGTTGGTTGTCTTCTTATTTTTTTTGTAAAACTGACTTAGTTTCCATGAAGTATCTTGTGTTATTCTTAAAATTTTTAACAAAGCTTCTGATTTTTAAATTTAATTTTCTAAATCTCCTTTTTAAGAAAGCTCCTAATTTTCAAGGTACTTCCAAGGAAGCTACTAACTTCAAATTGAAGTCACCAATAAAACTATAATGTTATTGATACTTCATGGAAGCTAAGTCAGCCTTATAAAAAAACAGCACTTTTCTAATAGCATTATAGTTTGTCTATTCTGGGATTCAAAGTATTCCCAATGGGACGTATCCCACTTGGTTAATTACAACTCGGAGGTTACCTAAGAATACTCTTGATCCGAAAAATTTTGAATACATTTAAAGTAACAACTAGTACAAGGCTATCAAAGGATAGTTATTTCGTTGGGGAATGCTCTGATGCTTTCAGTTATTTCGTTGGGGAATGCTCTGATGCTTTCAAAGCTCTCATTAAGTCATGAAGCGGGGAGTGAGTTTCTCATGGTCCTATATGGGTGACGAACTCATCGACACACGGAGTCTACGAAATAACCAGATAATCTTGTAGGGGTATCACAATACGTCAAAGCATTTCCAGCAATAAGGGCAAAGGATAAATCATCACATTCCAAACTAGTGACAGTTCATTAGTAATATGACCATTAAGATATTATGAATGACAGTAAAAGGAGTGACAAGGCTCAAAGTAGGTTGTTAAAAGAAGGGAGGAGTAATCCGTAACAATTGGAGGTAATTGGGTTAGAGCACCGCGAACCCGTTATCCCAAGCCACTTGGACCCTAAGTCTACCCAGTCGTGAATGTTGTCAACCCAACACATCCAGAGATCCCCAATCAGCAATCTATAAATTGCATCATCTGCAGGAACCACAGTGGACCTAAGATAAAAAAAACAAAACTCTGTTCTATGACTATGAGATGGAGCTCCAAGATGTGAGACTTATACTTGTCGAAGTGACAAGGATGCCGCAAAAAGGAAGAGAATGGGAGTTTCATCTACAAAGCTTGAAACACTCCCAACAAAAGAACTTACATCTCATTTGGTCGGGAAAGCTACTAACATCCTAAGTTCACTAGACACTCACCTAAGTGGAAATCTATGTTGGGTCAGTTGGATTAGAGAAGCATGGGGGCTTCTTCTTGGGACATGTGGATGATGTAGTTATCTTTTCAAGTCCTAAGCACAAAGATCTTACTAGAATGACTTGGGTGAAGGCCATGTTATGTAACTCATTTAAAATCCAGTCTGAAGGCCAGGTAGGAAAATAAAAGTGCAGATTTTAAAAGTCCTGAATCTTTTAATCCTAAATTTTAATTAATCTTGAAATTTTTATTAGGATTTTGTAGAAAAAACTTATAAACCTATGTTCTTAGATACTATGTGTTCCCAGACAAACCACAATCCAAAAAAGACAAAGCCAATCCAAGCATACAAGCATGCAAGAAATAAAGTTAAACAAGCCAAATAAAAATAATAAAAGGTTGATGTCGCTTGGTCTGCGACATACGCCAGAAAAGAAAAGGGCGGTCAGGCACCGCATAAGTGCATACCTAGTCCTAATCCTATAGATTGATGAGATTTAGAATTAAAGTATAAGACACGAGCAAGCAGCTTCTGGTCCCCATCATATGGTTTCACCCGCCTGACACTTCAGAACTCTTGCTCATACCTTATTTCTAATACAGACTCTTCTAGGGAATTTAAAAAGTACATAATAAAAGTAAAAAAATGGACTCGACCTGCATGAAAATAACGTTAACGGGAAAGCCAACAAATATGCAACGCATATGAGCCATGCCTAACGGGGGAGCTAAGCAGTGCCCACAGAAAATAGTTAGCAATTAAATTATTACATTGCTCCTCCATGTTACACGTGCATTGTGTATTTTGAGAATGGCTCCCTGCAAAAAGACTGAACTAATATACTACCACGCATATTAAAATCAGTAAACATGCAAGCACTCTAAAATCATAAAAGATGACGTCTGGCTAGGGCAATTAAACTAGCAAAGAACTATAACCAAGACATTGAAAAATACTACATAGTATTGTAAATCCTAGCCTAGCACACAATATAGCAAGGAGGTGTCCTAACCATCATCTAAGTTCTTGGGGTAAGTCTCAGGATATGTATGACTTTGACGGGTCATCACATCAGCCCTGTCCCAAAGATCCAAGGGATCTAAAAGGTGTCACCCATAATAGATTTTGAAAAGAGTTGGCCATACATATGGTCTATCTAGCTACATGCATAATTTTAATATTATGGAGGATGTAAAAAGTAGAAAAAAATATTTTTTTCAATTTAAAAAAAGGTCACTGAAGACGGACCCGTAACATGCAGGGTGACACAAGTTAGATCATTTTGTTCCTTAACACAGTCATAGTTTTGTCAATCCTGATGTTTTAAATAGCATTGTTTATCGGGATCAACCCAACAAGCAATGCTCGTTGGGCATCGCAACCAACACACGAGTCTGATTTGTTATCAATGCATACATACAAGTGCAAATGCAAACAAACATATGATAAAAGTGGTGAAGAGTGTGTCGTGGAGGCAGTGTCTCGGGAACGGGGGGGTGATAGAGGTAGTGAACCAAGAGAATTGTTGTGTCGTTGAGGCAGTAACCTAGAAGGGTGTGCATGTCGTGGAGTTAGCATCCCAAAGGATGGATGTGACATAGAGGTAGTGACCTAAAGAGTGGGTGTGTCATAGAGGCGGTGACTAAGAGAGGGTGGGTGTGTCGTGGAGATAGTGACCCAAAGGAATGTGTGTACCTTGAAGACAGTGATCCAAAGAAAATGGTGTGTCGTGGAGGCTGTGACCCAAAAGGATTAGTGTGTCATGGAAGCAGTGATCTGGATAGTGGGTGTGTCGTAGAGGCCAGAGAGAGTGGGTGTTTCATGAAGACAGTGACTAGGATTGGGTGTCTTGGAGGCAGTGATTCAAAGAGGTTGGTGTGTCATGGAGGCAGTAGCCTAAATGATGGGTGTGTCATAGAAGCAATGATCTAAAGGAAAGGGGGTGTCGTGGAGGCAGTGACCTGAAAGTGTGGGTATACCATGGAGGCAGTGGCCCAAAGGATGGGTGTGTCATGGAGGTAGCGACTCAAAAGGGTCGGCGTGTCATGAAGGCGGCGACCCTAAAGGATAGGTATGCCAAGGAGGCAACAACCCAAAGGATTGGTGTGTCGTGAAGGCAGAGACCTAAAAGGGTGCGACCATACTGGAGAGGCATTGACCCGAGTGAAAGA